TTTATTCTGGTGGTTGACTGGATTGTGAAGACCTCCACATCTGAGGGGAAGCACGGAATACTATGGATAGCTTGCATGCAACCAGACGATTTGGAATTGGCAGATCACCTGGCTCTTCTATCCCACACACACCAACAAATGCAGGTCAATACAACCAGTTTAGCAACAGCTTGTGCAGCAGTGGGCTTCAACATACACAAGAGGAAAACCAAGATCCTCAAATACAACACGGAGAACACCAACACACTTGATGAAGGAACTCTGGACGAGGTGGAGACTCACGTACCTGGACAGCATTATCGATGAACAAGGAGGATCTGATGCAGACGTAACGGTGAGGATTGGCAAAGTAAGGGCCGTATTACTACAGTTGAAGAACATATGGAACTCGAAACAACTATCAACCAACACCAAAGTGAGAATCTTCAATACGAACGCCAAGACAGTTCTACTGTACGAAAATGAAACTTTGGGAACTACAACAACCAACATCAAAAAAGTATACGTATTTCTAAACAATTGTATTCGCAAGACACGCAGTGTTCGTTGACCAGATTCTATCAGCAACCTAATATGGGAGAGAACAGGCCAACTTCTAGCTAAAGAAAATTAGGAAAATACGTTCGAGGTGGGTAGGAATCACCAAGTTGCATCATGAAGCAAGCGCTAACTTGGAATCCTGAAAGGAAACGGAAAAGAGGAAGACCAAGGAACACATTGGGCCGAGAATCGGAAGCAGATGTCAGAAGGGTGAATAGCAACTGGAAAAAATTGGAAGATTGTCCAGAACAGAATTAGATGGAGAATGGTGTTCGGCGGCCTTTACGAGGATTAGGAAGAGTATGTAAATATGTAAGTATAAGTAATGTTAGCAAGAAATACGGAAAAAACAAGTTATACCCGTCACCATAAAGTTTCGCTTATCAAATCTTCAGGACATAAACAACACTACATGGCTTTCCAGATGGATTGGTAGGTTAGGACCAACGATCGAATTGCTGTATATTTGACAAATAAGCCAACATGCAAAGGGTATTTTATTTAATTGCGATATATGGCATATTGATTGCAGCTTGATGCAAGCTTCATATCCTAAACATAACTGGAGACGTTTCAACATAACCAATAAGTTGTTAGCTTCATGATTTTGTTAATTTATCGACTGCCAGTAAAGATTTATCCGAAGTATAACTGATATTAGTTTGACATTAGGGCTGTATTGGAATAACTATCTACTTCAACCACTTTAAATTCATTTGCATACACAATTAGACAGACCTGTGTAAATCGAATTCGTACCACGTTTTTGCACACAACACACTAATCACCTACGATTGTTAGCAATATGTCATTTACTCAGTAATGAAATCACAGCTTTCGATTAGAGATGAGATCAGTCAAGAGGTAGTATATGTGAATGTACATCGGCTATAACCGACCATTGGTGCTACGAAATGTTAATCGGTTTGACTGAAAGGTTGTACCGAAATATTCGTTACGCATCGCACTGACTGTTTTAGAACTTTGATATGACATAAACATAGTTGTCATCATAGCTCAAATATTTCAAGATACATGTTAAAAGTGCTTATTTGATGAGTAAGAAGACAATGGTGTACGGTGGCGCAACTTCGTGGATTGGTTGAAGTTAGACATTAACACCGTTGGATGCCAGCTCAGTGGTTAAGTGCTCGCGCGCGAAGCCAGTAGGTCTTGGGTTCGAGCCCCGCGTGGTACGGGATTGTGGATGCGCACTGCTGAGGAGTCCCATACCAGGACGAAACGGCCGTCCAGTGCTTCCAGGTTCTCAATGGTGGTCTAGCTTCAACTGACTCATGATTTCAACCTGTGAAAATTCTTACTCTCCACAAAACCCATTCTAATAAGAAATAAGCCTGTTGGTCAATTTTTGATGACATTAAATCATGTTTATTTTCCGTTTTATAGTCTGTATGTGAGCACATTCTTTTATTAAATAGGTCTATTCTTCTGTTTAGTGGTTTTACTTTTGATATCAGTTCATTTTGGGGAGACTAGTCAATAATCCAGTCAAGTGAGTGACCATTACTTAGCCAAATCTTATTGTTGTATTGATCTGACGATTACTATTCTATTACTTCATGTTAACAAGCTAAGAATCATTCATTGTCTTCAAAAATTCCTCCATAGTAGATGCTCTTTAGGATAGTCAATAACTATTGGTTGGAATCTAACACTGACATTGAACGGTTTTGGCACTTTAGCGATGTTTGTATTTTTAGAATTATAGAAAAATCTACTTTGGATCTTAAGATTGTAGAGGAACGAACCAAGTGATTATCCACTTTACAACTATGTTGGATAAAGCATTTGTGCATTCTATAAAATATCTATGTAAATAACATTTCTCAGTAAGATGGCAGAAGTGTATGCATACAATCACTTAATTGTAATTGTCCACATATTTTATAGTAATCCATCATTTTTGTATTCATTAGGATGTTCACATACCTAACAACAGATAAATGCGCATAGAACTTCATCAATAGAATTGTGATTTGCTAACAAGCGATGATCTAACTTAATCGATCTGAAAACACAGGTGAATCCAAGAGTTAAAACTTACTTTTTGAGAGTGGGTGGTGGCATTTTGAGTACAGCCGGACAGATCATATATAAGGTTAGCCTGTCAGGCGTAAAAGCTTTTATTAATGGCAGAACTAGACCACAGAAAGAAACATTGTTTTTCGCTTGCTCCACAGTATCTAAGAGTCAGTAAATTGTTCTCAGCAAGAAAGCATCAAAATCTAATATCACTTATTCACCATTTACAGGTTTGTGTACCTGACTGTGACCCAAACTGTGAATGCTAGCGATACTACCCGACTTTCCGAAATTGAAGTGATCGGAATATGGTTCGAGTCTTGGACACTGGTTGGAAGCCTCTGGGATGTTGTGCCTGCCATATTACTTGACGGCGCTAATAACTCGTAGATGATCTCCACTAAAAACAAATACAAGCTGACAAACCTAATTATTACCATATAACTATGTCATCACTAGATGCCATTTTTCGGAAACGAAGTTGTTAAACATCAACTTCAATAACCTCACTAAGCAATCATAGCTTCTAAGAAAACAGTAACTGAAATTTTATTCAAACCATGTTTCACAACAAGTAGAGAACAGTGAATACAATCCGGTAAGCAATAGCAAAGTCATCAAAAATTCCCATGAAGAACTTTGAAAATTTTATAAACTGTACATTACACTGTTTGAGATATATCATTCCTTATTTATTAACTGGTGAATTCGTGTTGCTAAATGAACATACTACGCAATACATATCGTATATCTTACATTATGAAAATTAATGTAGATTGAACTAATGTGAATGTAAAAGTTTCTACTAATTCACTTGGTTTTAATCTCATATCTAACTATAAATCGCCATATTTAAATTTGCATAAGGGTCTAGCTGTACAGTCAGATTAAACATATTGGATAAAAATGTGTGGTTATGTTTGGCAAACTACATAAGATTATTGCTAATACTTTCTAGATTGGCAAGTGTGGTATAATCGTAGTTTTTGGGCCTTTTGAGTGGCTGATCACCTCAGTATATGCTAAAAAGTAGACGGGATCAGTGAAATATCCCTGAATAATGTTTGGATTACTTTTAAAGGCTCTTTAAAAAAACAAGCAAAACCAAGATGAAATTTTATTTGAAGGGATTGAAATAAGATGTTTTTTTAGATTTGCATGATAATCATTCAATAAAGGCTAAACAGTCAGACGATTGGCTAATATTTGAGCATATCTGCTACCTAATAAACATTACATACATACATTATAAGAATACGCGGAAATAAAAAGCATAAAAATCTATGATTCTTTTATTGTAGGTTGAAAGTCATCCCGTGTAATTAGGGTCTACATGTTTACACTCGAACATTGAAGCTGACTACACAGAAATCACTAGGGTAGGAAAAAGAGAAGGACAGGACCATATAAATAAATAAATCTGAAATAATTGCCGTAATGAAATTCTTTCGAAAGGCAGGCTAGTGGTAAAGAAGCAGTCAGCAAAAAATCTGATCTCAAAATAACCATGACAGACGTAATATATTGATGGAGCAATAAATGTCTGTTAGCCCTGATCAAATGTTGTGTCTGTAAGACTACCAGTCTAGTAAAAGATAAACAATAATATGTATGTGAGATAGAATGACAGAACAAAACCAGTCTAGGATATGTGTCCTTAGAACAAAGGTCATTTGGGGAAGAAAATGGTCGTTCGACCTTCTAAATAATAAATTTTAAAATTTAGACGATATTAATTACCCAAACAACAAGAGTAAATTATTAGTAAGCCCTGGTGTAAAATAAGATGATAGTGAAGGTATACGATGTTTACTTGTATGTACATGCAAAGCGAATATATCAGATGGCGACGAAAATTTACTGATTGAAATATTGATACATACTAAGCAAAGAAAACATGAAAATCCTCTTGGAAGTTAAGATGATAATTTGACGACTGAATTTTAGATTTAACAAACCCATTCACCAGGTACTTGGGTGTGTTACACTATATAATTAAGGGTTAGATATACTACTTGGTCCCCAAAAATCGAGGTAGTGGGGGATCTGAACCTAGGACTTACTGACCAAGAGTCGAACGGTTTAACCGCTAAGCCACTCCTATTGATATTTTGAATAACATAATACAAAAGGACACAATCACCAGTGCTTAATCGATTTATTTTTGAAAGGGATCGACAATGGAGAAACACAAATTACAATAACTAATACCCATCGATTAAGAGGTAGGTAATGTGATACGAATACATTTAGTTGGTGAACTCTAAGGATTAAGTATATTACAGAATCTTCTTACTGCACTATCAAATGAAATTAATAAACTGGTGGTAGTATTTGATTCACTACCAGAAACTGTTCAAAAATTTTGAATATAAAAACAGAAACAAGTGTTATATGAAATAAAATATTTTACTCACCTTCCATCCAGCAGAACTTGTTGGATCACTGCGCTCCCGAAAATACTCATAATGAGTAATTATGAAGTCATAAATCTGTTGTAAAGTTGCTTGTTTGTCTGGATAAGAACGTATAGCAACTGAAATTAAGTCTGAATACGTCTCAGAACCCCAAGGGTTACGCCTTGAAGACTTTTTAACAGGAGTTGTGCTAGTTGGGGCAGATGCACATGCTGAAGAGCCGGATGTAGGCGTATTTCCGACCGGTGTGCCAGATCTTGAGGCGTTTGATGTTGTCATAGCACGTGGACGTAGTAGTGAACATGGATGGATATTTGGTAGCGCAGATGGATCATGAAAGTGAGTTATGTGAGGATTTGTTGAACTTCCGACGCACTGCTTTTCTAACCCGTCTGATAAAAGTGCTGATCGAAGAAAACTATCGCATGTGATAGGATTTCCGCTTGATATACCAAGACTTGTAGTGGAATTTAAATAAGAAACAAAACTTGGTGTAGAAAGCTGAATTAGAGTTGAATCAGGTGACATTTTAGGTGAATGAATACTACCTTGATTACCTTGTTGTAACTGACCACCTGATGGACTATGCTTTGAAGGCATTGCTTGATCAGGATAAGATCTAATCGTAGAAAGTGATGAAACATCTTTATGCTCATTGGCATTTATAGATGACCCAGAAAGTATGGATAGAGAACAGGGATTAGAAACAAGTGTATCACGACGAATATAAGAAGCGGACATGGAATAGTTGAGGTACAAAAAATTGGAATTTTCTGAACTAAATTTGTTATAAGATCTTCGCCCAGTAGCAACAATAACGATGACCAAAATAAAATGTTTTAACGAAGTTAAATATGAATAAATAAAGGTATAAGACCCAGCTAGTAAGCACAATAAAATGGCGCTTTTTGTAAGTGAGGTAGCAAACGAAAATTGAGTTAAAATACAAGATTTCCGCGTGTATATGAATGTTTAGAAAAATAAAGTTATCGAAAATGTTAGGTGCCACACGAAAAAAATCACAATTATGTGGCCATATGGCGCTTTTACGTAGTAGAAACCTAAAAAGAAAAAATATATAATACCAGATTATTAAGGCTTAGAAAACAATACAGTGTTAAAGATACATAACTGAATGTTTAAAAGCCTTAGGGAAACATTTAAAATGCATAAAGTAGATTTAAAACTGATAACCATGTAAAATAAAATGAAATCCCTGACAATTTGGGAAACATATGCAAATGAATTAGAATGCCTATTGGCGATCATCTAAATAATAATAGTGTTATTCACTGTATGAAGGTAACCATTAATATCGGTATATTGTGGGTAAACACAAATACCAAAGTGATGTTTTTCATTACCTTAAGATGTTTTCACGTATTCATTCTGTTTTCGAGGTTATCGATTTGGGAAAAAAAGACTTAGATTAGTGTGCTTTCTTTCCTACGAATTTCCATATTTGTTGAAATACACAGTTGGAATAACCGATACGTAGTATATTTCCAAACTGTCTGACAGACCAACTAGAAAATTACCTAGTTATGTCAACCGCGCAAATCAAGTTTTTTGTCGATTCATAATTACTACATTTGAAATTTCTATGAGCAGTAGAACATGTCAATATAGAAAGCCGTGTATTAATTGGAGTGTACAACGCACTTATCACAAGCGCTACAGTAATCTTACCGGTTTGTAATTGAAAAATGTAGAACTGCGTCGAGCTGAATACGAAATGTTATTCCTAGTCTACTGGAAAAATGCCCTAAAGAACGTATTGGGGCTTTCGATGTTCAATCTTTGTGGCAGATAGGACAACGGGCTTTCTTGAGACTCTAGAATCTCGCGCTATCGATGCACGATACGTCTCCGAAACGCACATACTGGATCCAAGTATGGTCATTTACTTGACCTCGTCTTGCCAGTATAAAGAACCGGTGCGATTCATCTCTCGTGTATTTGGAGTCCCCACTGCCATTTCTCAAGGCTTTTTCTGTTTGACTGACTGGTTGACGTAGACACAAGGAAATACTAAGCAATCGATGGACGATACAATGGAAAACCAGTACACATATCATTTCAGGAATATTTGAATAAAACGCATCATTCGTAACCATGTGTGCTATCCTAAGCGTTATAAAATGAAGATAAGACTAATTACTCCCTATTTTGAGCTGAAGATCAAGAAATATTTGGAAAGAAATTTAGTAACTTACAAACGTGTCTCACTTGTTGTGAAGTGAGTTTACGAGAATATATAGACAAGCATCTACACGAATAAGCGTTCTTTTAGAATACTATGGCACCAATCTGCATCTGTAACGCAGCATACCTTGGAGAAACGGACGATAACTTATACAATCACACTATAGGTCCTCAATGTAAACTCAACATACTAAACATTGACAATGTTGTATAGCTGCGTTGTCATCAGAAGATAAGCGATGCTAGAACTGGTAGTCGTTAACTTACTCTCTAGCACAGCCTTCAGAACTAATAGGAATTAATCTATGAATATGGTCATTCCAAGTGTTAGAAAGCATCAGATGCGTTGTTACAAAAAACATGCTTCTTGTTAAAAGACATTAAAAATAAAACGACTATATGCCTATATCTTTTCCATTTAAATTCCCGTTACCATTAAGGTCATCAATAATGAAGGTTTAAGAAAGGCTTTGTACTAGTGCCTTTATTCAATGTAAAGATTGAAGGAATCTGTTAGGCAAACATTTTTTCCACTTTCCAGCACAACCGAACATCTAACAAATACAAAGCGGTGTGACTATTACAGGAATGTGTCGATGCCTTTCAGTCGAAAAGAAAAAAATCAACGACAGCCACCGCCCTCCATAATTAAAACCAAGAAAAGTTGGCAAAATATGTGGAGATAGCTACTATTAGATGGGCTAGACGGCGGTATGTACTTTAATAAGATAGGATATTTGATGATAGTTTTGGTCTATGACCTGATACTTTATAATACACAGTAGGCTAGTTTGCGACACGGATTTAAACAAACGAATTGGATCTTATAGTATATGTATTCCTATTAGCATACAGATGTATTTTCACTGTGATTGCCTGAGAGTGAGTCTTAGAACCATTTGAAGGGATGATAGTATGATGTAATATGTTCTAGTAACCCAGCACGCCTCTAAAATCAAGATCTATCCTTCAAGAAGCATTAACTGTCAAATTTTGCTATTCTGTATAATACATAGATGGTGAGAATAACAGTGTCACGATAACCATGCACACAGCAAAGTGAACAACAAAATCCCCACCAACAATCTCTGAAATTGGATAAGTACGCTTAACGTGACTATTTTTTCACCGTAATTGTGTCATTCGATAATGTCTAATAACCTTGAACCCGTTGAGTATCACATATATTCTTTTCTCCAAGGATTCACATTTGTGAGTTTGGCGTAAGCACTAGTTGCTATTTCGTCTTCACAGTATAGTTTGCCGTAAGAGTCATAGGTTGAACCATAAAAAATTGCCAGTCATTTAGTTCATTTAATTCAGCACTATAAATTTGAGCTTAAATACTACACTATGGAAGGAGACAAAACACTGATGATAGGGTTTTCATAATGCACTCGTTGAGATGGAAACGAAAAACATCAGTTCTTCCTGAAATCCTGCCTTGAAATGGCGCCATCCATTACAACTAGTGACAAGGTTTAAACTTGTGAAGGGATCCATAATATAGAACCAGAGAGAAGCCAAAGCCGAACTTTTGAGACTAGAAGTATAACTTTTTACAAATTTATGTAGCCCTGGGACAATACATAGGTTGTTGTTTAAAAAAAAACCCAGGTACCCGAGTTGAGACAGTTATCCTAACCCTACAAGGCATCATGGAATTAGAGATCGTGATTTTTAATGTGAGGAATCCAACATATATAATAAATAAGGGATTTTAACCATTTCATTCCATGAAACGTAGCACATGCAAAGATTATGGACAGGTACTTTAGCAAAAAACGCTTTTTGAGCAGATTCGGGAATTAAAACGATATAAATTAAACACTGGCCTACCCTTAAAAATAATTAACCCGAGATGGAAGTCACAACATGATGAAGGGCATCTTATGACGGAAACCAAGTGCACGGGAGAACATAGTTAGCACCGTTCAAAAGCCCACCAAAAGAGTTTCGCACTTGACAGACCACAACCAAAGAGTTTATGTCCAATGCTTAATTGCATATTCGCCTCGATTTTCCTCAGTGATTTTCGAAACAGGAGAGGGACAAACAAGCTCAATTTTTTTGTTTTATAGCCTGAAAACCTTGTTGATTTTAATTAAACCTACTGTCTGTAAGCTCATGGTCAATCAATTTGGCGACATTTCAGCACAGCACATGTTAAGCGATTCCTCTCTGGTAGACAGTTAAATTACAAGTCTTATGATCATAACCCATTCTGTAAGATGAGGTATATGTTATATCCTAGTGAAGGTTACATCACGAGTAACATCTGGGAATTTTTAATGGACTAATACTATATATATCCCTTGTTATAAGCTTTATTTTGAACCATATATTGTTATTGTACGATTTACTGTTCTTAAGCTATGTTCAGTTTATTGACTACTGCCTCCCATGTTCAAAACCACTTTTTAGTTTTATTGTGTGCGGATTGACATTTATTTATGTGACCGATCCAATTTAATTCGTTGAGTTTGTCAGTGTATCGAAGGAAGGCTGTATTGAACCTCTGTAATGCTGTTCCCCCTGTTATCCAGTGCTTCTTTAGCTTCAGTTTCATCTTGGCCACAACCAGGTGATGTCCACTCCTCTCCTGGTTCTCACGTCCTCCATTGACCTTGTGAATTTCTTACTGATGCAAATAGACCCATCTGGTTCTCGTGGTGTGGTGCGGTGATACCCATGTAGCTTTGTGTATTTGTTTGTGAGGGAGTATTGTGTCATCTGCAACTATTTTATTGAAGACAAATAGATTTACAAATTTGTCTTTGATCTTTCACTTTTTCATTTCCCATCAGAGTTCCACGTTAGCACTTGTCCCGTGATACAGTTTGATGATTACCTCAATGTATGTCCCACACACTTCCATTGTCTTTTCCTAATTTACTCCTCAGTTGGAAGCTGGTTTATTCTCTTTCATAGTAACCTGTTGCTGATGTTGTCCGGACAACGGACACTGATTGTCTTAAACTTCATGATGTTCGTATAGAAGATTCTCACTTCTCTTATCCACACTGTCAAACGCTTCCTCATAGTCAAGGAAGTTGATGTATAGTGACGAGTTCCATTCAGTTGATTGTTCAACGACAATCCGTAATGTCACTGGGTGATCCGTGCATGACCAACCTCTGTGGAATCCACACTGTTGATCTTGATGTTGGGAGTCTACTGAATCTCTCATCCGGTTCGACAACACTTTGTTGGAAACGTTTCCTGGTACTGGTAGTAGTGTGATGCCACTAAGGTTTTCAAATCTGCTCAGATTTCCTTTCTTTTGTATCTTGATGAGATTTCCTTGTTTCCAGTCTGTCGGCACTTGTTCCTCCTTCCAAATCTCCGTGACTAGAACGTGGAGCATGTTTGTAGTTGATTTTGTGTCTGACTTCGGTGCTTCAGCTCATATATTGTCTGGTCCTACTGCTTTCCCAATTTTGATTTGTCTGGTGACCATGTGTGTGGGAAGGTCTGTGTGTGTTGTTTCGATGTCCGATGGATTCAATGTAGCTGACCTATTCAAGAGTTATTCAAAGTACTGTACTCACCTGTTCCACTGTTTTTAACTTCCAGTGACTGATTTGCCTTCTTTGTCCTTGACCGGTCACTCTGGTTTACAATATTTCCCTGTTAGTTTCTTCGTTATATCATATGGTTGTCTCAGATTTGCTTCTCCTGCGATTCTGTCTGTTGTCGTTTCCAGGTCTTGCACGCATTTCTGCTTGTCGGCTCTAATGCTTTTCTTCAGTTGCTTATTTGTTTCTGTGTATTCAGTTTGTGCCTCGACGTTTTCTGCTCTTGTTCTCCTGTGGTCGATTGCTGTATTCTCGTTCTTCATTTCTTGAACGCCGTCCATGGATTCGATCGAGATCCACTCATTATGATGATGCTTGTTGGGCCCAGAACCTCGTGACATACTGAAGTTATTACTTCTCTGATTTATTCCAGTAGTTCTTCATAGTGGATTCATCTTCTTTGAGTAGATTATGTATGGCTTGTAATCTGTTGTTGAGAGCTATATTTAATTCGTTGAGTTTGTCAGTGTCTCGAAGGAAGGCTGTATTGAACCTCTGTAATGCTGTTCCCCCTGTTGTCCAGTGCTTCTTTAGCTTCAGTTTCATCTTGTCAACAACCAGATGATGCCCACTCCTCTCCTGGTTCTCACGTCTTCCATCGACCTTGTGAATTTCTTACTGATGCAAATAGACCCATCTGGTTCTCGTGGTGTGGTGCGGTGATACCCATGTAGCTTTGTGTATTTGTTTGTGAGGGAGTATTGTGTCACCTGCAACCATTTTATTGAAGGCACATAGATTTACAAATTTGTCTCCATTCTCATTCCTCTCTCCCAGTCCATGTAGTCCCATGATATATCCATACGCGGTGTTGTCCATCCCGATTCTGGCATTTAGGTCTCCCATCAGGATGATCAGGTCCTTTCCTGAGCACTTCGCTATGATTGGTTTCAGCCTCGCGTCAAACTGATCTCTGTTATCTTCGTTGCTATCATTCGTTGATGTGTAACATTCACTGTGATTCCCTCGTTCTTTGTTTTGAATGATGCTTTGATGATTCTGGATCCATGAGATCTCCATCCTATGAGTGATTTTCTCGCTTCACTGAACAGAATCCGAGCAACTCTCTGAGTGTGTGGAGAATTTTCTTCTTCACGATAAGAGTACACCAGTATCTCTCGTGAACCTCATCTTGTCTGTCCATCTTTGTTTCATGTGGTTTTACCTATTGCGTGCACCATAGAGTTGTATCTGTTCATTTCTGCAGCTATTTGACTGCTCCTCCCAATCTCTCACATTTTCCGGACATTCTATTTACCCATGTAAATTGTTGTTTGAAGGGACATTTGCCTCGCGACTTTTGAAGAATCTCCGCTTTCATCATTAGGCAATGATTTTCTGCCATCTGTTTTAATGAATATATTACAAATTTATGTATTATACAAATATATATTCAACTATAAGAAGTACATTGGGATATTGCGATTTAAGCAATTTTGTAATCTACTGCAAATTTATGTCGGTTTGAAAGTGTTTTCAATCCTTCCCTCTGCATATGAATTCGAGGAAACATTTTTATACATCCCAACTATAGTGAAATCTGCTAGATTACAACTACAGTCGAGTGCAATATGAAAAACAATTAAAAGCCAGGAACACTGAATTATTATCTCATTTAAGACTTAATAACGATTGGAAGAGGATCACAAACACCACTTTCAGTTCTCATGGTGGTGACAGTAACTCCATTATAAAATAGGTAACCAGCGCTTGTTGACTTACAGTACTTCTCAAACATACACCATTCTGTGATTATTTGCATAGCATCTATTTATGATTGATTGATCTCAGATTATACATATTTCTGAAAAAGACTCTTTCCTAAATCTAAAATGTTCAGACAACTTGGAAGCATGGTGTTTGAAAGGGGAGGGATGGTAAATGGGCATAGATTTTCATCAAACTTGGTTAATTTTTATTTACAATAAAAATTAGAGAGGTACAGGTAAAAATGATTGTAGGGAATACTACTAAACTTAGCTACGATTTTACTAATAATGGAAATCTTTACTGCGAGATGGTTACTTAAAAGGAAAAAAGAAAAAAATACTTATTTGTGAATTATCGTTGGGTACTTAAAATAATTTTAATTTATCAGATGTTTGTGGATACATAAATGCACATATAATTCATCCTGGTACACATATTCGTCCATATGTATACTTTAATGGTGACTAGATGAATTTATTTGCTAGTTGGAGTAGCAGAAGTATATTATAAAAGAAAGTGTGGTGGAAAAAGGATTCATTATCTTGTAATTGAAGAAGATTGTCAAAATATTAGTACTTCTAGCAATCAGTACTCCCCTTGGTACTGTTAGATCTTAAATAAGTGCACCTTCAACTTTCAACTAATCTATAATACAATTATCTTCACTGAGGTTTTTATTTAAGCTTAGATTACTGATGGTACTCACGGAATGAAATGATATACAAAAAATTTGTAACCGTCTGAAATCAAAGGAATTGACACAGTGGTGCTCAAATTTTAATTAGTGACTGAAGATTTGATGAGAATGTACGGATGAATTCTTAACTAATAGGTAGAAAGGCAGTAACAAACTAACGTTTTCACGTCAGAAGCATGTTCATATCAATGAGCATGTAATATCCATCGATTGGGAGGGAATAATAGATTTCATTATTTTTACTGATTAACTATTTGGTTTTTCAACTCAGCAGTGGTCTTTAAGTAAGAATATCATAGCTTCATATTCGTAGTTGAATAGTTTTTAACTGTGGCCAATAAATGGGTAACAAGTGTATGTTCTGTACGCCATCATCCGATGAATTTGATAAAAGGTAACGGATTTCTTATTACGGATGAAAGCTCTCTGAACTTCTTTTCACGCCTCACTATACCAAAGAGTCGATGAAATGACGCTTGTGCACTATGATATGATGCACATACCCAAGTTTATGTAGGCATCTATAAGCTCTCCAATCATCCGTTTATACTGTAGTGCCCGGCTGCACGTGTTCCTGTATAATTAGTATTATTGTGCTTGTTTGCCGGTTTCTGACCCTCTGAAAATGCCCCTTCTGCGTTGATCGATCATAAATTCCAAGTACCTGTCAAGTATATTTACAGAAGTGTTACTTACCCAATCTTCCTTGATACTACGTCCCCTGTCGTATTTTCGCTTTCTCACTACTGTTTCATCTATCTCTACAATACATCCTACTCCTCCGAATGATTGGTGTAGACGTGTCATTTTAATTGCACATATGTCACGGCAATACTCATACCAGTGGACTGCTGAAGTTTCAGTAACATCTGCGAACGCCGCAGCCAGTGTTACTGGTGACTTTATTATCCGATTCGCAACTATTATCATGATCTGCCTCAGTTTCAGTCGCGATCGAGAAAAGAAAGTCCCCGTTCGAGCAGACTT